AGAGGACTTTCTCGGGACTTTGTGCCTCTTTGAGAGAGGACTTTTCTTTCTTTTTAGTTCCTCGGGAAGAGGACTCGGTGCCTCTTGGAAGAGGACTTTTCTCGGAGCTCGGTACCTCTTGGGAGAGGACTTCTCTCGGGGATTCGTTGCCTCTGAAAAGAGGGCTTTTCTCGGGGCTCTTTTTCAATATTCTTTGGGAGCCTCTAAACCCCCACCCGATATCTATCTGACGGTGGTTGGGCGCTCCGCTCTTATTGAATTATAGACAATCTCCGTCCACCTTTCTCTTCATCCCTGTCCCTCGAACTGAGGGGGGCCTACTCTAATCTCTTTATAGGATTCCTTCCTTTTGGGTAGCTTGTTCTTAATGGGCTGGGCTTCAGCCCATCCTTAAGCCCCAATCCTTTTCCATATCCTATCTTTCCTCAACCTCGGTACGGGAGTCTATGACTATCTCCAGTAATCCGATCACTTAACTTGATCTAATTATTGATCTCTACTTTCTATTCTTTTATATTATTACTTTTATCAACTTATACAACTTGGAACAGACAACCAGAGGCTTAATCTGTCCAATTGAGGGACCCATGAAGAATGGAGCGGTCCACCGGAGGCCAAATCCATCCATCTGAGGGACTCATGAAGTTGAAGCGATCCACTAGAGGTCAAATCCGTCCATCTGAGGGACTCATGAAGATGGAGCGGTCCACTGGATGCCAAATCCGCCCATGTGAAGGACCTATGAAGATGGAGCGGTCCACTGGAGGCCAAATCCGTCCATGTGAAAGACTCATGAAATTGAAGCGGTCCACTAGAGGACAAATCTGTCCATGTGAAGGACCTATGAAGATAGAGCGGTCTACTGGAGGCCAAATCTGTCCATGTGAAGGACCTATGGAGATGGAGCGGTCCACTAGAGGATAAATCTGTCCACTTTTGGGACCTCTAAAGCTGGAGCGGTCCTCTTGAGGATATATCCATCCATGGCTTGCTAAAAAGGACCGCGTAGAGGACTCATGGAGAGGACCACGGAGAGGATCGTCGGAAAGAACCGCGGAAAGGACCGTCGGAAAGGACCGCGGAGAGGACCGCCGGAGAGGACCGCGGAAAAAACCGCCGTAGAGGACCGCGGAGAGGACCGCCAGAGAGGACCGCGGAAAGGACCGCCGGAGAGGACCGCGGAAAGGACCGCCGGAGAGGACCGCGGAGAGGGGCGCCGAAGAGGACCGCGGAAAGGACCGCCGGAGAGGACCGCGGAGAGGAGCCCGCCACTTCCGTCCATGGTTCGGCGGAGGAAATCGGAGCTCGCTGGATCTCGTCGAAGATGAAGGCTCGCTTGTTGTTGATGAGGCTTGCCGGAGCAAAGGGAGCTCGATGGACGAACAAGAGCAATCGCGGCCGCTGCCATCTGCGGCTCGCCAGAAAAAGTGGGAGCTCGTCGTAAGGCCGCCGCTGCTATCCGTGGCTCGCCGGAGGAAGTGGGAGCTTGATGGACGAACAAGAGCAATCGCGGCCGCTGCCATCTGCGGCTCGCCGGAAAAAGTGGGAGCTCGTCGTAAGGCCGCCGCCGCTATCCGTGGCTCGCCGGAGGAAGTGGGAGCTTGCTTCTCNCGGCTCGCCGGAAAAAGTGGGAGCTCGTCGTAAGGCCGCCGCTGCTATCCGTGGCTCGCCGGAGGAAGTGGGAGCTTGATGGACGAACAAGAGCAATCGCGGCCGCTGCCATCTGCGGCTCGCCGGAAAAAGTGGGAGCTCGTCGTAAGGCCGCCGCCGCTATCCGTGGCTCGCCGGAGGAAGTGGGAGCTTGCTTCTCCCGGGCCAAGGTTCGCCGGAGTGGACAATTGCTAGTGGTATGGCTCGCCGCTGGATACCGCCAGAGATGAAGCACGCTAGAGGGCTCGCCGGTTTGGGAGGATACTCACCGACCCTAATGGAGGGTACTGCCGGCGTCCCCCTACCGCGTGCTCGCTGCTCACCGAAAAGATCCCCGCGGTCCGCGGCTCGGTGGCGGAGGGAGGAGTTGCCGGAGCTAGAGGAATCGCTTGTCTACTGGACCGCCATGGAGGCCGCGGTCGCCAAGGGCTTGTCGCCGGTTATGACTCTGCCAGATCTCCAAGCGGTCACGGATCTAAGCTCGCCGGAGAGAGGCTCGCCAAGGGCTCGCTGGAGAGGACCGGGAGTGGCTCGCCGGAGGAAGGAGGTATTCACCAGAGGCCTGCCGCTGTCCGTGGCTCGCCGTAGGAGGAGCTCACTGCCCAGATCTGGTGATGCGACTTTCCGATTTGAGAAGAAAAGGAAATGGGCTCTCTCATCTTTCTTTATTTTGACTTTTCTCTCCCACCTCTCTCCGTATCTCTCCCTTTCTTTTTGTTCTCTCCCTTTTCCATTTAATTTTTTTTACCTTCTCTCTCTTTTTTTTTCCATTACGGACTCAGAGCACAAAAGCTTTTTGTGACCGGTCCCACGGTCGGCGCCAGTGATGGAAACCGCTTTTTCGGGGCGTCGACCCGATGAAATCGGTACTGGGTCGGCACCGCACCGAATAGCGAAATCCAGAAAATAAATAAATAAATAAGGCGGAGAGAAAGTATTTATACGTGGAAACCCAAATCGGGAGAAAACCACGGGCCTTTTTAGGCAGTGCCATGCCAAAGGGGAAGAACTTTTATTAATCTCAGGGGAATTTACATATACATCATTGTAGGAACTTGGAGTCATTAATGGAGC